AACTTTAACTTCATTTTTAACTGAACATTATCAACAGTTATATTAACCTCGGATAATGTCACTGATCACAAAATACATTCACAGAGAAAACGTATATCAAATGCACAGAACAAAATAAATCAGGTGATGACAGATCTTGAATATAACATATTTAGAAAATTGACAACTCTGTTTAGAATTTCAAAAAATACAAAACCATCAATGTTGCTCCAAATTCATGTCAAGAATTATAAAATAATTTTCTTAGGTCACTCAAATTGGTCGCCAGTCGGCATTTACTATTTTAGGCGCAATATGATAATTTCAAGTCGCCCAATTGGCGAAAAATCGCCCAAGTTGGCGGCGACCCTGGGGCCAACTGTTTTGCCTACAGATTCCCCGTACGGACGCAGCCGGCCTGCGCAACCTTCAACTGCACAGGCCATCTGAGCGTGTATAGCCGTGTATAGCCGCCTTTACAGTACCTATGAGCTCGATCTACGACTTTACTGTTTGCATTTTGCGTCAGCCTCGGTCTCGGCCTCGGCTCGGCCATTTGCAGTTTGACTGTTTGTGAAGTTGCATCGTGTTGTGTTTTGTAAATCTCAATTATTTAAAAGTGTCTGATAATGGATGAAATACGTAGATTTACTGTCCCTGTAACTGACGTTATGATAAAGGTACGTCTCTTTTTGTGCAGAAAACGATTTTCGTATGTAAATTAGTAGAATATATTTATGTTCTTGACCATCCGCCACCAAACTATTAGTCCAAGCTTAATAGAGTTATTACCTGAAAAGAAATATGACCGTATAGAAAATTAAATTTTAAATTGAGTTTCTTGTTCTTTAAACTCGATCCAAAATGGCGAACATGGCCAAAAAATTTTGCAGAGTTGCAAAAAACGTTTTTTCTAAAATAAGTAAGAAAATATCAAAAAATTTTATATGAGAAAGTTGTAGGTTTTAAAAAGATCTGTCGACTGATTTTTTATAAGTATCGATTGCTTTATTACTTTTCGAGATATATCGAAAAATCTTCTTATATACATATAGGTAACTCGTTTATATTTACGTTTCCATACTTGCTATTTACTGCATGCATAGCCCGCGACAAGGCAAGTACGTTTTTAAAAAATTAAAAATAATTATTTCTCGAGATAGGCATATCGATTCTTTGAAAAAAAGGCGCACCTGAAAATTGACTAGATCTTCTCAGCGGATGGCCCTACAGTAAAGATTTTCGATTTACTTTCTTCGTTGTATAGTACCATGCTGGTAAAAATTTAGACGAATTTATTAATTTTAAGGATTAAAAAAATTGCACTTTTTTTGGGCGTTTTTTGCTGACATTTTTTCACGAATTAAAAAAATTGTTAATTTTTTTACTTAAAAAAAATCTAGAGGAGGTAATTAACATTTTACAGCGATGCTCTTAATGGACTGAATACTTATACATATTTTCAAGAAAAAAATGTTGATTTTTTATACTAGCAATTAAGTAATAAAGTGAAGCGTGGAAGCGTGCGCTCGCTCTGAAAACTGATTACGTGCATTCTAAATAGCTCGCACTTGCAAAATCTTTGATATCTCGGCTTCTGAATCATGTACAAAAAAACAACAATTTGGGATACTAACTGCTTGACTTTGGCGCACTATGCCTGTTTTTTCTCGAAGACGGGTAAATTTTAACACTTCTTATGAGAACACCTTTTTTGTTTAGAATAACATTTGCCACAACAGCAAGCAGCAGAAGGGCAAAAATATTAACCTCAAAAAAGTTAGGACCTAAAATGTTCTCGCGGAGTACCTTCTGCACTGAAAGCCCTGTATGATATAGCCCAAAATTAATAACTCCAGAGCATGTAGGACCGAAACTAGATTCTAAATAATTATTTTCAACGCCCCGTTTCTTGAAAACGGAAAAAGATACGCCCATGGTTTATAGGAACAAATTATAATACTTTTCGAAATTCTATCAGGCCCTGAATTTATGCTAGTGTTTTTTCAGAATACCCCGTATGAAGAGTTCTTTGAGTGGTTGTTTGTTTTCATTGGTTCAATGTTCCCGCCTGCGTTGCAGACTTTGCGCTTACAGTCGGCCACGCTACAATTTCCGCGTCTTCGCGGAATATTGGGGCTGGCAACCTATTTAAAAAAGAAAATGATACACATTAATGTGCAGATTCTAGTGTTACAGTAATGTTAGTTGCATAAATTATTTTAATAATGTTGGTTGCCTAATTTCCTTAAATTTCAGATGTGCTTGTTATCTGTAAAAATATATTTTTTATATAAAAAAAAGATATAGCGGCGGCCATAATAATAGTTTTCAAGTGTAAAAGTAAATGTAACAATGTTAATAAACCACATATTTACCATTCACAGACCGTGCCACAAATGACGTTTTTAAATTTAAACAAGTACGTATGATTTTGAAAATGTTGGATTTATTAATAATAAATGTTATAAATAATAGCAACAGCCAATTATATGTATTTCTTATTAGAAAATAAGTAATTCTCACTTATGGTCAGCAATTTATAAAATATTTGTTGTATTTCATTTATAATTGCAAAATTTTAGAATTTTTGGTTAAGATTCGATTTCATAAACAAACAATTTATATTATGAATTAAAAGTGATGTAAACCTATGGATATTAAAATATCTACTTTTTATCCAATTTTTACTCTAATAAAACATTTTTAGGAAAATAATAAAACAACTATTAACTTGTAATTTATTTAAAAAACTATTACATACATTTATAAAACCTGTTGGACACGATAACTGTTAACTTTGTTATATGTTCCTTTCTACCTTACAACACATTGTGTAGTATTATGGATCATTGTTGATAATTTTAGCGAGAAAGACTTATTATAGCTTTGTTCCAAAACGCCTTGGAACAGTTCACTCTACCGCCAATAATGGCCAATCAATCATTTAGTGACGTGTACTATGTGACAAAAGGTACAGTATATGATTTGGCGTCTATTATTGACGGTACAGTGAACGGTCTTCAGGGCGTTGTGGAACAAAGCTTGTATCTACTGAAATTAGACAGACACAAAAATTAGCGACATCGTTTACATAAACGATGTGCTTCATAATACTACACATTATCTGGTAAACGTATACCTAACTGTACTTCCTCTGAATTTTCAACCGGAATCATATAAATCATAGTATTTGTATAAATTAATTAATTTAGTATATTTTATGAAACTATAAAACTGATTAACAATATAAAAACAAAGATAGATTCATTTGATTAAGTAAAATATTAATTATTTTTTACTAGTCACATATACTGAGCATTATTTTTCATCATCAAAGCAAAAAAATATGTTGTGGCAGCGGAAAACTCTAATGAAATAGGGGCCATTGAAGTAGCTTGCCATAGCAGCAATGTATGATTTGCTAAAATCAGATTACAGTCACAGTAAAGTTATTTTATAAAGGACTACTTTTCAGTTTCTGTAAAGAAGTTTCATAACCACGCGAAGCGGAATTTAGTGTTGATGTAAAGTAAGTTTGCTGTCATTACATAAAGCCTCTCTGCTACTACTATAAAGTATCTTGAGCGATTATAAAATCTCATTACTGTCATTATAAACCAACTTGTAGTCACTATAAAGAACATTTGCTGTTGTTGAAAAAAATTGTTCTACCTGTGGCAATGAACTGTGCTGTTTCAATAAAGATCCTTGTAAACACTATAAAGATAATTAATGCCATTTGCAAGAAACTCTGCTCTCATTATAAAATAATTTGGGATACCTGTTCTGCCTCAGTAAAGAATATTTGCTAACAGTAAAGAGGCTTTGCGAGGAAAGTATAAAACTTTGCTGCGTTGGTAAATAAGCTATGTTCTGTTTGAAGAGTACTTGTGCTGCTATTGAAAAGTAATTTTATTGAAGTTGTATATTTCCCTTGAAATTAATGTACAGGGTGTTTCATAACTTTTTATTATTTCCCTCATAATTTGTTCAGAAATAATGAAAAAATTACTTATGTAGGATTAATTATTTATGTATAACATTTATTCAGGCAATCAATAAACATTTGCAAAATTTTTAGTTCGATATTGTCTAAAGCTATTTATTTGTGGCTTAATTTTAGTTTTTTTCTGTTTATTGGGTATTTTGCCACCTGCGAAAAAAATAAAAATTGATTAGATGAACCCTTGCGCCAAAAGGATCAGTAAGTTCACTGTTCACAAACATGCTTACCTGTTACAGTCCTTGCAATTGACGGCAGATTTATATAAAGCAGATAGCCTGCTTTATATAATTCACTCAAGTACCTATTCTATATAAAATTATTCATTAGCCAAGATTACCACTCTCATATATCTCACTTAATACACGACATACATAAAAATCTTCAAAATATTTTTTTGTGCTACCATACGCGAAGTGAGTACTTCGCGTCCCTATTACAAGCCGTTACCTTTTGCAGCGGTCCTCAAAGTAAATGTCACATCAAAATTAGATATTTCTACAAAATGACAACAAGAATACTTGCAAAACAAGTACTACACATAAAATTGAGCAAAAAAAAATTGTCGAAGCCACAAAATTTTTGTTTTTCTCTTTTTATGCCATATCGTACATGTCGCATTATCTTTTATATTTACCACATTTTTTACAATTTCGATATAAAAAATGTACCTAAATATTTTCGTGCTGCTCAAATAAATGTAGAAATCATTTTAAAAACGCCAACTATGAAAAACTAATAAATATAATGTATTTATTTTAACCAAAACACATATTTTTTTATCACATAATTACAGTATCGGTTTTTGCATTAGTGACAAGAAAATTTGCTTAAAAGAATTACATTTTATTTATAAATTTTTCATAGTTGCTGTTTTCAAACAGTTTCTACATTGATTTGAGCAACATATTAAATATTTAGCTATATTTTTTACACAATTGTAAAAAATGTAATAAACATAAAAATAAGGATGACATGTAGTATATCACATGAACAAGAAGAAAACAAGAATTTTTTTACGGCCATAGCTTTGATAGGAATTTATTTTGCCCACCTAGAGGATGCAGCAAATCACATACACATCTCAAAAATCTGTTGATATGTTTTCTCTATTTCTTAAAATAATTAATTAATAATTTTCACGACAATATAGGCGTCTAAAAATGCAAAAAAAAACATACAAGATTTTTTACCTGTGTTGTGTACAGTCTGTATATAAGGATAAAAAAACAGGAACGTGAAATAAAAGGGAGCATTAAATTTGCAAACTGTATTAAAACATTAAAAATCTTTGCTCATTGCACAACTCATACTGATAAATAGTTTATTTCATTTCTTTTTATTATTACAAAAGTATCAAAAATTTTAAGAAAATTAAAGAAAACACACTTTTCTAGTTCAGTGATATCTACAACATATGAAAACAAATGTTCATTAAAAGTAATAGACACAATATATTTGTATACAAATAATATGTCATTGAATTCATTTATAATAATATTTGAAATTTTTCCAAAAAAATGATTCTTATTTTCATAATCAACACATATAATATCATTAACTCTATAAATTTTTGAATTAACAGTAATCTTATTACAAGAAACAATTCGACTATCAAAACTACACAATTTTTCGTGATTTATTCCACTAGAATTTTTTAGAATATCAGAAAACTTTGGCAGGCTATCGATGTTTGAATATTCTTTTATTATAGTTGAATAGGAAGTATTATGAGAAAATCCTCTCTGATTTACAAATTTAGAGGCCAATTGAAGTTGATGTTTCACAGCCAAAGAATAACTTATGTTAACTCTGGAGGCAATTACGTTAGCTGATAATTTAAATTGGCGATGTTTCGATTCGTATCTTAGTGTTGACATATTTTTTAGAGGTCCAGAGTTTAGAAGAATTGAGGGATAATGAGTCATGAAGTGAAATTTTGGTTTAAGCGGTTTAGCAAATAATGAAATAAATAAGGAGTGATGATCATGGATTAAATTTCTCAAATCATTTTCAGTTTCAGGAGTAAAGAAATCCTTAAGAATAACGCATACAATTTTTCTAAGCAAAATATACAATTTCCAGTATTTATTGCCTTCAGGGATAAGGTCGCCAAATATTAAATCAGCATTTAAGAGAAATGTTTTCATTTCTGAAGCAGACATCCTTAAATTCATTTTCTTTAAATTGTCATGCATATAATAATTTCTTAGAACTTGAGATAGAGAAATAAAATGTGCTGTATATTTTTTTACAACTGGGACATTGTTTTTAGTTTCTATGTATTCTCCAACAGTAAATTCAACAGGTTTAATAAATAAGTCTGCTCTCTCCAAAATTTTAAATCTCAAATGCTCAGTACCAAAATCCTCAAATAAAATGTTTAACTCTTGAAAAAATCTATTCATTTCGAATACATCTTCTGCAGGTATGTTAGATTCATTATACACATGATCAATGAATTTATTAAAAATATCTAGGGGTTCTGAGAGTAATTCATTGATTAGATTCATAATTTTCTGGACATCTTTTCTAGAAAATGTGTTTTCTGAATAAATTCCGCACATAAAGACAATAATTTTTTCATTCAATTTATTTTTAAAGGTAGTGAAGTTAATCTTTTCATTCTGAATTAATTCAGATGAATGCAATTCTTGACGACTTTTTTGTTTCTCATTTTCTAAGTTACTATAATGTGATTTAATTGTTAAATTCTGCTGACATAGATCATCCGAGATATCTCCTATACCTAATGTTGTTTGATAATTAACCGAGTCATTTCTTTTCAACAACTCCCTATGTATAGCTGGAGCCAAAGAATGATTATTTAAATGTTTTCTGAACGACTTTAATGATGGGAAATTTCTCCTACAATTTTTTTCTCCACAACTATAAGTGCTACTTTCCTGACATTGATGGATTATTTTTAGATGAGTAATCAATGCATTAGTTTTAAAATAAAAATTGCCACAAAAACTACAAGTCGGCATAGCTAAATTGTCAAAGTTCAAATTGTGAAATGTCTAGAATATTTATCAGTAAGAGTTATTTGTAAGCATAACAAAACACATGTTCTTAATATAAAATGTATAAAACTTAACAAAACATACATACATATTTTTAATGTAAACAAATATTTGAAAGCAAAAAAAGTATCAGTCAATTAGGCAAAACATATTAAACATTAAACCTGAGAAAACTAAGCATTATCTACTTCTTTCAGATNTAGCAAATAATGAAATAAATAAGGAGTGATGATCATGGATTAAATTTCTCAAATCATTTTCAGTTTCAGGAGTAAAGAAATCCTTAAGAATAACGGATACAATTTTTCTAAGCAAAATATACAATTTCCAGTATTTATTGCCTTCAGGGATAAGGTCGCCAAATATTAAACCAGCATTTAAGAGAAATGTTTTCATTTCTGAAGCAGACATCCTTAAATTCATTTTCTTCAAATTTTCATGCATAATCAAAGGTGGCTTATTATGATTTGCACTAAAATTAAAATGCTTTAATCTATTATTCAGTGTTTGCAAGTCAAAAAACTTTTCCTCAAAAATAAACTTATTTAACAGGTGTGCTAGCACAACAACTGCTACACCTTCGAAAATATCATGTGCTATGTCAATACAAAAGTTTTCAGTGACATGAAATGATTTTATTTTGTTCAAAATTGAATTTTGTTTTACGCCAGTTAAATATGGATAATTCGTTATAATATCATCTTTATAATTTTCAGGAGTTCTTAAATATTGTACATTTTCAAGTGTACTATTTTGTGCATCAACTCTCAACAGTTTGCAAAATCGGCAATATGAATTAGATGAAAAACTCTCTTGAAAACCAAGAATTGTGTTTAATGCAAGATTGTCACCTAAAAATGAAACAGTGCAAAAGTGAAGACGATATTCATTAGATTGAATTTTTAAAAATATGCCGGTGTTTCTCAGGTAATTGAGTTCATCTACTAATTTAGAAAAAATTACTTTATCGCCAAATTCCTTAAGATCTGTACTATGAAATAGGGTAACCAGAAAAATATTTTCTAAGCGTGACTGATATTTTGGAGGTAAGCAAGCTACCGTAGAATAAATAGCTCCAAGCTTATGAATACCTGCACGAGAGCCTAATGGGTTTCCAGTTTCATAATCATCATAATAAATAAAGAGTGGTAAAACAATGTCTGTTTTTTTGAAATCAGATATTTTTTCTCTCCAAAAATTTGTTTGAATAATGTTATATACATTATCCAGATTTTGTAATTGTTCTAAATATGTCATAGTTTCAAATAAAATACCAGGAATGGAAAAAAAATTTCTTAGAACTTGAGATAGAGAAATAAAATGTGCTGTATATTTTTTTACAACTGGGACATTGTTTTTAGTTTCTATGTATTCTCCAACAGTAAATTCAACAGGTTTAATAAATAAGTCTGCTCTCTCCAAAATTTTAAATCTCAAATGCTCAGTACCAAAATCCTCAAATAAAATTTTTAACTCTTGAAAAAATCTATTCATTTCGAATACATCTTCTGCAGGTATGTTAGATTCATTATACACATGATCAATGAATTTATTAAAAATATCTAGGGGTTCTGAGAGTAATTCATTGATTAGATTCATAATTTTCTGGACATCTTTTCTAGAAAATGTGTTTTCTGAATAAATTCCGCACATAAAGACAATAATTTTTTCATTCAATTTATTTTTAAAGGTAGTGAAGTTAATCTTTTCATTCTGAATTAATACAGATGAATACAATTCTTGACGACTTTTTTGTTTCTCATTTTCTAAGTTACTATAATGTGATTTAATTGTTAAATTCTGCTGACATAGATCATCCGAGATATCTCCTATACCTAATGTTGTTTGACAATTAACCGAGTCATTTCTTTTCAACAACTCCCTATGTATAGCTGGAGCCAAAGAATGATTATTTAAATGTTTTCTGAACGACTTTAATGATGGGAAATTTCTCCTGCAATTTTTTTCTCCACAACTATAAGTGCTACTTTCCTGACATTGATGGATTATTTTTAGATGAGTAATCAATGCATTAGTTTTAAAATAAAAATTGCCACAAAAACTACAAGTCGGCATAGCTAAATTGTCAAAGTTCAAATTGTGAAATGTCTAGAATATTTATCAGTAAGAGTTATTTGTAAGCATAACAAAACACATGTTCTTAATATAAAATGTATAAAACTTAACAAAACATATACATACATATTTTTAATGTAAACAAATATTTGAAAGCAAAAAAAGTATCAGTCAATTAGGCAAAACATATTAAACATTAAACCTGAGAAAACTAAGCATTATCTACTTCTTTCAGATGGTATGATATATCTGAAACCATAGATACTGTTGAAGGGCAAATCTTCTGAGGTTTCATTTTAAAAACTAGCTCTTGTAAAAAGAGCCACAGTGGTTCACTTTCATGTGGGTATTCAACATCCAGGGCATGAAAAAGCTTATAAAGTAACTCTAAGGCTCTAATGCCAGTATCAACTATATACTGCACATCATCAACAACTACAATATATGATGGTTTGTTTAACTCACCAGAAATTACACCAAATGGTTGAAGTGTCAAGCCAAATTGGTTTAGTTTATCTTTTCGCGATGCAATCTTTAATTGCAGCTCATCCAAATTCTGAAATTAAAAAAATACCAATGATGTGAAAAAGCTTTGTTTGTTTTCCTTGGCATTGACAATTTTGACTTAACATACTATACCTATGGGATTTAAAAAATGTACAAATTTTTGTAAGAGTGAGTACTGACTTTCTTGTTGATGACAGAAAATATAAAGAAACATTTGTGAGAAATGTTACAATTTGAATAATTTAAATATTTAAAAAAGCCATACCTGAACATGAAAGAAAAAACTTTCCTGTATCTCACTTCTGCTAGGACGCCAGTTGTTTCCTTTTCGAGACCTTTTTATAGTAACAGGACTGAATAAAAATGGTAAAACCAATAGTGTCTGAGCCACTGGATCTAAAATGAAGCATCCAAAACGATAACCCCAGTAAACGTAACAATCAGAAGGGAATCTTCAGTATGATTTTTGGTACCGAATTAATAACCTTAAAGCGAGCGTCCATTTTGTTTGCGAGAGTAGATAAATATGTTGCTAGAAGTCTGGAATCGATCATGCACTTTCATGCTGCCTTATTAAATCAGTCACTATTTTATTTACCCGTTTACGTGTAAATTTATTAAATTTGTTAAGTAATTTTGACTTTTCCAAGTAAAAAATTGTAAAATGGCAACTCCTGCCATCTATTTTTTTCTCTAACTAATTATGGATATTTTCATATGCTGCCATCTACTAGCAATATTGTTTACTCTCGCAGAGGAGATGACAGCCATTTCAAGGTAAGCAGAAATGTACCCGCAAACTTCAAAGGTACCAACAGGAACTTTCCTTACTGATTGTTATGTTTACTGGGCTATAACCTTTATATTATTATACTATATCTTTTATATTTGAATGCTTATACCTACCAATTTCTGCAGAATGAAAAAGGTTAATATTTCTTTCCTTTGCTTCAGCCAATATACCACACGATACCTGACTCCATGTTCTGTATATTATATCTGTAGATTGAGGGAACCTTTTATTAAAATCCGTTTCAATCTAAAATGAATACGAAAATTTGGTACTTGTTATAGAAGTGTTGGGTATGTTGTTTATTTGAATAAAAACATCAAAATGCTACTCATCAAAAAATTATTAAAGCTCCAATTTGACAAGTGATACTTTGGGGAATTAATAACCACTCTACGATAGCATTTAGAAGAATATACAGGCGGTCTACTATAAGAGGGCCACTCCCATGTAACTTGATTAATACACAACACACGTCGAAAATCTTCAAATGATTTTTGTTGCATTTTTGGAGACCTTTGTGCTTGTAAAAACAAGTTTTGAAGTTGAACAGTCCTAAAGTTTTTTTTATTATTACTCATAAAGTTGGCCATGGATCTTAAATTTGTTTTTACAAGCATAAAGGCCTCCAAAAATGCAAAAAAAAACATTTGACAAAAGACTTTTGACGTTTGTCACATATTAAGCGAGATACATGGGAGTGACCCTCTTATAGTAGACAGCCTGTATTTAGTGTCCCTAGTACCTACACAATGAGCACTTTAAGATGACAAAAATATAAAGATGCTTACCAGATCAAGTCCAGAATTATTCTTTAAACAGGGAAAGTCACCATATATTTCATTTAATTTACTATGAATATATTTCCGTCTTCTTATTTTAAAAGTTTCTTCCCATGCCTCAAAAATTTTATGAATTGGTTCTGTAGCAACTTTTAAGAAGCTCATATACTGTAAGTCCTTATCACTGTTTTCGGGACTTGGGGAAACAGTTTCCTTTCCTTTTTGGCTAGTAGTTGCTAAACTATTATTTGCTAGTTTTAATGCAGCTTTTGTATTTATATATTTGGTGTACAGCTTTCCCCTAGGACCAGTTTTATTTGCCGAATTATAAGGAACATAATATGTCTCCTTTATCTCAGATGTAAATAGAGTTTCTATTTCATCAGCAACCTTAACAAATATCTCTGCTCTTATTCTACAAAATTAAAACAATCAATTTTATCTAAGACTGGTAAATATGCTTAATGAAAGTGATGCTTATAGGTATTTTTTTTAGTTAGAATTAGGGGTACAGATATTATTACAATTACTTTCTACTTGTTTAAGTTAACGTTTTACTTCAAAAGCAGATAATTATTTACTTACTCAGTTCCATAAATGGCAAATAGTTCTGTAATTATCACCTTGGTCAGTTTGCTTCGGAGATCATTTGTGAGTTTGTCCTTTTTTATTAAAACTAGCTGACCATCAGGATATTTATTTAAAACTGCTTGAAGATCCTGAAAATTTTATATATTATAGCACCGAGTAAAAGAACACCATTTCATTCACTAACTACTTATTTCTTATCCTTATTTTACATATCTAATTTATTTAAAAAAATTACCATTTCAACAACATATTGTCTTTCTATATTATTAAATATTATTACCTGAGGAAAAGGGCTAGTGAATGTATCTGGTTTCTTTCGTTTTAATGGTGACTCAAAATGTGCATCTGATATGTCATCAATTATTATTGGTGGATTATTCTGTCCACTTATATTTTCATCGGACCAATATTCCCCATCAGGGACATATGTAAGTATACTAGAAGATGTCCACGTTTCTGTTGACGCTTTTGAAATAGTTTCCACATCCTAAAAAATTTGTGGTATATTAAATAATGTCCAAACTTTTGTTAAGCTGTTCCATAAGCTACAGCAAAGTAAATGAAAAATACTTACGAACGATGCCTGTTGACTTTCATCCAAAAAAGTTTTAAACCTATTTTTAAAAATCAGTCTTGGACCTACTTTTGGTATAAGTGCCTTTATTGTTTGGTCGTCTAGCAGATTGAAGCTTTCATCATCTATTCCTTCTGCTGTAATATAAATAACTAAGTTAACTTTACTGTTTTTAAGTTACGTACCTAGGAGTTATTTATTTTGCACGATTAAATCAAGTTTAATAGCCGACATACTCTGAATGTTGACATATCCCCACATCTCATCATTGTACCTTATTTCTCTTTGAATTTCGGAAAAATATTAGTAAGGAATTATTTGATACTTAATGAACGTCATTTTAAAAAATATAGGGTGTCTACAGTAGTAATGTTTTAATATTGTGAAATGTATAATTTTAAATATTTTTTTCTCGAAAACTACATTCGACCGGTGAAAAAAATTGTTAAAATGTGGGGTTAGGATGGTAAAAACCGCAAGTCTTATAAATGCTTTTTAATAATCATGGTTTTCTTTTGCAAAATTTAAATAGTAACAATAAGTACCTAAAACGTCAAGAATTTTATTTGAGTGCTTATTTGTTCTTTTATTTTTCGAGATTTCATTTTTTGGCCAAAAAAATGGCGACCTTATATATACCGGAGCAATCACTCTAATGCTTGTAGATATATTTACCTTCAAAATTTTCTATAAATGTGTCGAGACCCCATTCCGACAATTTAATTTTATAATTGTACTGCGACGCCATTTTCCGTAACCGGCTCTGGCCTCTGTCAAGGTCCAGCTCCACTACCAAGCTAAGGTAGAAAAAAATATTGTACACCTGTTGCTGTTGATTGGCAGTTCAGTATTTAAACTCCAAAAACACATTACGTAATTATCATTGAAAGCACAAATACCTAATAAAAAAAAATAAAATTTATACATACCTACAATACAATATTTAACGGTAACAGCAACAGCTTACACACAGACACACATAGATCACAGCACAAAACATATAATACAGATCACAGCGAGTCGGTCGGGATGTCGTGATTCCAAATCAAATGAGCACAGCGCGCACGCGCATACGGTAGCCTGCGATTGGTTCTGCTAATAAATAGTATGATCCTTTAAAATGTAACTTTCGGCAGTAGTAAAATTTTTCTTTACTTTTCCTTTAGGATTGAAAACATATTTATAACTCTTATTAGAAATATATTTATAAAATTATATTTGCAGTCACAGTAAAGTAATCTGCTATTACAATAATATAATTTTTAATGGTTGTAAAACATATTTATTAAAGATACACATTCAAACCGCAGCAGAGTAACATAATTACCCACAGCAAAAAAAAATCAAGTAATAGTGAAGTACATTTAGAAAACAAATTTCTTTTGCCACAACAAAGTGAATTTGCAGTTCTAATGAAAAAATTTACTACAAGAGCAAAAAAACACGTAGTAAAGAATTCTTTGCTGGTCATTTTCTCAGTGTAAGTACCATAATGGTTTCTAAAGCCTTTAATATAGATCAAAAGTAGTTAAGTGACTAACCTAGTATTTCTTATTCGTAACTCGTAATGTAATAACACATGTTGCTCAGGAAGTAAATATAGAGCATTTATGTGAACAAGCGTAAATATTGAAGCTCGAAACTGTACTTTATATTGTTTTAGCATAATCCAATTTCAAATTAGTCCAACGATTCATCTTTTAAGGAATTATTTTCTGATTTCATATTTTTGCGTTTTTCTTCTAAAAGATAGAATCTCTTTCTGCGTCTCGAAATTTCCTTTTTTCCAATTTTGATTTACGAATTGGTGGTGTCCTAATCACTGGTTTGTCCAAAATAGTTAATAACGGGTTATAGGTTTCGTAGCACATTTCATTCCACGTCTCATCTGAAGGACAATTATTTTCTGCTGGAACTTTATTTTCCTCGAAATTGTCGGAACCACCCATCATTTCAATATTTTTGTTTTTTTTAGTAGGTTTAAGTCTTTCTTCTTCTAGAAATTTTTGGCTCCAACGCTGGCACATTATTTTCTGTTTTAACTTTAGTTTCAAAATCACTTTTTAAGGTGCTATCGTTCATACTGTATATTTTCGAATACCGAATATTTTGCAAGTACTAAAGTGAATTTGTATTGTTGTTTACATATACAGGTGGTGTTAATTTAAACTAATTATCCATAATACAATGGTGTCGTGAGAAAGGCAACATGTGGGGTGCTGAAAAATAGCACTTCGCTGGGAATAATAAATTTCTCAGAACTTAGCGAAAACTTACAGGATCAGATGGTTAAGTGATATATGTGTAACAGGAAGGCAAGTCAATCAAAAGAAAATTGAGAACATCTGTGCCATATTCTGAAATTAATAGTTTAATGAGAAAGTCAACGCTCGGAGCGTAAAAATGTTTGACAACGCTGAGAACAATTTGATGTTCCCAGTTCCCACAATGTAGAGAAAAATTGTAGGATCGCCTTACTAGGCGAGCTACTTTGAGCCAATCATAAGATCAAACCAGGCTTATAGGCGGGGGTAGAGTGACATATTTTTGAAAAGCCAATACAAGCAAAGCAGAAAAATTGCGACAGTCTCTAATTGGTTTATATCTATTCACAAAACTTTAATTATGTGTAAGTAGTGAAGGAGGAGAAATTGCTATATATTCGTATAAGATATGTATTAAAATCAGTTTATTTCAAACACATCGTAAACATTAAACTTATTTAGATGAAAATTAAAGTGATATCTGGAAATAGTACCATGGGGGCGCCCAAGACAGTGCCCAAAAAATCAATCAAACTTTTGCAGCATTTAGGGGAAGTCGGGGGAATGGTGGCCTCCTAAGCATTTTTGACTCCATAATTTGTAGTTTTCGACTAATCGTCATAAAATATTAACAACGGAAAGACAAAAATGTTCTTTTCAATATTTTATTTTCAAATTAAAAAAAAAACAACAAAAACTCGAACAATATTATTTTTTTAAACCCCTGGTGGCCGTTATTACCCCATCGTGTTGGGGTAATGGTGACCATATGTCACCATTACCCCCCAAGTAGTAACTTTGACTTAGTTCAAGCACAATAGTCGCAAATAAAAATTTTGTTCTCTACATTAGCACAAGCTTTGTGTGCCCAATTCCCGCACATGACACATCTCAGCCATATTTCTCTATTCTTCCCGAATTCACCACAAAGAAGACATAAGTCGTCACCTATCACATTCTGATCCTCATTTTCGTCATCATTTGATTCTTCATCGTCGTCAGAACTGGAATCCTTATATCTTCTAGTCCCAACATTTCTTGGCAATCTTGCTCTCTTCATTTCACCACTATCCTCTTCGTCATCATCGTCCAGAAAAATTCTTTTCTTGACCTCCTTTGCTCCTTTCCTGGTTGTCTTCTTTGCTAGCTTCTTATTCGCTTTTTCTATTAAAACATCTTTGTTTGGTGTGGCTGTTATGATTTGAGACGTTTGTTTTGTTTTCCGTTTAATTGACTGCCGTCGAGGTTGTGATGGCCCTGGTAAAGGCAAAATTTTTTCGAAAGATATTTCCATATTATTGTTTGGTTCCTTAGTCACCTCCACCACTGGGAATTGATCATCCAGAGTTGGTTGGGGTGTTGGAGTTGAGTGGTGGATTCTTGAAGTTCATTCGTTTTCTGGCGGTAGGTCACGGTGCTGTGTTTCGGTATATTGCTGGGGCTCATCAAAGGGGTTATGTAGGTCGGTTGCTGCAAAGTCTTCCTTGATGAAAATATCAGGATTATATGGCTAAATGCCGGTTACTTGAAACCCTTTTGCAGCTTTTTCCAAAGTAGCTACCCTCATATAGGCATTATTAAATAATTCTGCGACTTCGAATAGAGTTATCTTCTCATGTGGATGTGATTTCAAATATTTACTACATTCTGTGTTGTAAGCAGTTTTAAGGGGGCCATAAAATGTGACGTCTAGTGGTTGGAGTCGGTGGGAAGTATGTAGAGGTATTGTCAACAAAATGATCCCATTGGCTTTACAAAATTCATAAGCTTCAAGAGTGCAGTGAGTACTGTGGTTGTCCATGATGAGAAGAACCGGATCTTCCAAGCTTGGTTTGACAACCTTCTGGAAATGTCTCAAATATTGTATGAAAATCTCCTCCGTCATCCAACCTCTATCAGAGCAACAATACTCGGCCCCAGGTGGACCTCCTTTCTTGAGGAGCAAGTTCATTCGTTTTCTCGCAAAGATGAATAGAGGAGGAACATAGAACCCCGAAGCACTGAATGCACAAACCACTGTTGTGTTTTTACCTCTTTCCCAACTAGTAACGAAATCGACTTGCTTCAGTCCTTTCTCAGCCAGAATCTTGCCTGGTTTTTTTACCGTTGTAATACCCGTCTCATCCAAATTGAAAATTCTGGATTCTTTGCATTCATATTTAGTGAGAACTTGTTCCAAATTCTTAAAAAACAAATACACCTGCTCTTTATTAAATGCCGTAACTCTGTTCACACTTGTCGCCTCAGGTTTTCTCAGCGAAACAGTCGGATTTCGCTTCAAAAAACCGGAGAGCCAATCGTCTCCTGCACTTTTTTTTTCGTTACTGAAAGGACATTTTATATTATTTTTCTGTGCATAGTCGAATGCACATTTCTTTATCTCTTGTCTGGAGACTCCGTAGAATAGTTTAGATAACCTGATGACATGTGCTGCGAGCTGTTTTTCTTCAACATTGGAGAACACCGACAAACGTCCTAGTGATGGATCCTTGTAATTATTGTTTTTTATCCTCGCTTGTATCGTGCTTCTTGGAATTTCGAAAGCTGTGGATACCTCTCGAACAGATCGACCACTCCTCACAGCAGCTATTGCTGCCATTAGTTTGTCCGAGTTCCAAGAGGCCTTTGTAGTCGTTCTTTCACGATGTCTAGGCATCTAAAAAAGTAAGGACTTAGAATCATGGGGTAATGGTGGCCGGCCACCATTACCCCTGTTTGTCTGGCCATCTTAACCCCAAAATGTATGATTTTCTATATATAGTGCCAAACGAAAAACATTAATCGCAAAAAGTCTCACCTTTAGAAATCTTCAAGGTAACAGATAAACACAATTTTTGTTGCTGTTTTGGAAATTGCGCAGCTTGAATGACATACAAGTTTTACAATCGCCGAACTCACGGTTGCTAATAAAGTCAATGTCTGTTTTAGTTGAACACCTGACCAACGCCTTAAAGTCGTCATTGCTCGCTGTAACTGCGTCAGTCAGTTGAACTACCAATTTATAGATGGCGGCACTATGTAAAATTGATTTAAAAATGCATGGTTGTGAGATAATAGGTGGCTATCATTACCCCGGTGGCCCCCATTCCCCCGACTTCCCCTACGGATGGACGCTGGAAGTTCAGACTTCCAGAATATTCAAGCCGAGGAGTTTGATTCGAGTTTTGAAGTGATAGATGGTTCTTTCGAAAAACTTAAACCCATTGGGAGCAATAGGGCAGTTCCAACTACTAGTGCCGATTATGACGATATCAGCGAACCCGAAAATACTTCAACGCCGCGATCAGAAGAAAGTGATGACGAAGAAACCGCTGAGGTGCAAAGGTTTTTGCAAGAATTGCGGCAATTCGCCAAAAATAAAGTAAAAACTTCGCGGACGCGAAAGTGATGGAGATTGGAGCTGTTAAGGAAGATTAAAAAATATGAACAAAAATTAAATAACCTAAGAAATTTATTAGCGGAATATGAGGAAATGTATGTGACAGAATATCTGAAATAGTGGCGTAGGTCGTTATTGGGAACCGCAAAAGCAGTGCCTGCTGTTCTCGCGAAATGGACGTGACATGTACGTCGACCAACTATATTTTTAAATATGTTAATATTGCCATTTTTAATTATGTTTAAGTTAATTATGTTAATAAAAAAATATTAATATTTTCAAATAGTATTTTGCAGTAGTTTAAAAATTTGAATAAATTCATTCATATTAAGACAAAATATACAGGGTGTCCCGTTCATGTTTCAAAAAAAAACTTGTGTGCAAGTTCCTTATGGAAAATTATAGAGGTAGTTCATGTAAAGTTTTTTCTTAGACGCCCTGTTTTCGAGATGCAGTGTGTTGAAGTTGTTACTTTCCAAATGGTTTTCCTTAATTATCTTTAATACGGCTAAAGATAAAAATGTCAAAATTTGTACACGAGTGTTAAACATCAACTGTGCGTTAAGAATAATGTGCAAACGGTTTCTTTCTGAAAAGCAGTGTCGCCGATACAGGTAATTGAAGGGGTACAATAAAAAATAAATATGTTAAATGTCAAAATTAATTACATTTCTAAACGGTTACGTAAACTCTAAAGCATACTATAAAAAAGGTACACTTGTCGAAATTCGGTAGCATGTACCATTTCCGAGACAAATGAAGTTGCATAGAAGGAAATGGGGGACAATTTCGGTATCTACTGTAGTATTTCGAGTTTGCACATTTAATTAATTAATTACCATCATCTGTTTATTTTGGTTAACTCTTTTAAATGTTAGTTTACAACAAACTAAAACTTAAAATAAATTAAATTTTTTTTTAGTTAATAAAATGTTTTACAATTTAACTGTTTCATGTGAGACGTAAGGTCTTTAATGCCAATACTGTTGGTAGCTAAATGTCTTCAGCTCATTTTATGGTAGGGTCCTCTTTCAATTTAATGTTTTGTTAATGTACTTGTGCCGCTTTATGTGAGCAAAAAAAATGCAACTTCATTTTTCTCGAAAATGGTACATGCTATCGAATTTCGACAAGTATACCTTTTTTGTTAGATTGTAACCCTTCAATTACCTGTATCCGCAACACTGCTTTTCAGAAAGAAACCGTTTGCACATTATTCTTAACGCACATTTTGACATTTTTATCTTTAGCCGATTTAAAGATAAGAAAACTGCTGTCAACAAAATATGTTTTCGGATTGCAGCAACATTTATACCTGCACCGAGATGAACGGAATTTGTACTCACAAGTAAAGCCATTTATTGAAACTATACAGTAGATTTTTCAGAAATCATTTATCTTTTTCCGTTTTCGAAACATCCAGCTGTGGAGTGAAAGTAAAATATTATTCTGCATCAGAATATTTTTTAATGTTAAAATTAGTTTTTAGTGTTCTATTGATATACAGGGTCGGAAAGTCCCCATGGTTCATCGGCGGTTACGTGAGAGCGATAAAGTAAGTCATAGAAATCCATGCGATAGAGAAGGATGGCTATAATGAAGGCGTCTCATAGTTACCGCCCGTTTCGCCCTCTGTTAACGGATTGTATTAACATATCGGAATACGAAGTCGGAATTGTATAAGTAGTGACATCTATTACAGAAAAGGCAAACGACGAAAACAAAGATGACCACCGGCCGCTGAATTACAAGTGGAAGTGGATCTTATTTGTGGAAGGGCGAAACGGGCGGTGACTATGAGACGCCTTCATTATAGCCATCCTTCTCTATCGCATGGATTTCTATGNATTTGTTTAGGAAAGCTTTAAAGCAGTTTTTATTGGAAAAATGTTTTTATTCCATATTGGAATTTTTACCTACTTTGTCTTAGTTTGTAAGTTTTATTTGACTATTCCTATACATATTATGTCTCTGTGGAAAATAAATTATTATTATTATTATTATTATTATTATTATTATTATTATTATTATTATTTATTTTTAATTGAAATATTAAGCTGTCTGGATAAATTGAGTCAATATATTTTGAGCTAAACCTATTTTTAAATAATAGAATGTCATCTTTAACACAATTTTCTATCTATAAAATATTTACGTCTAAAGAGACAAATATAAAAAGTTTTGAGTTCATCTTTTGAAATAAATGTGCTTTTAAATTTGCATTTTTTTCATTCCCAAAAGGAATTTTCATTTGGACAGTAAACACAAACTATAAAATAATGTATTCTGTAAATAAAAGGAATTGTATCAGAGTTAAACAAAGAGAAAAATATATATTAATAGTGAACTGTACTTACTTGGTGATCGAGAAACGAAAAATTATCCCACTTTAAAGGAAAATAGGAGGTAAACACTCGAATGGTTATTAAGTTATAATTAACTCGTATTTAATTATTCCATTTATAACAAGCATAGATAAAATTAATATGGAAATAAATTTCAAGAGTTCTCTTTGACTAAGTGTTAAATATTTCTTGTTTGTGTAATTTTCAGAAAACAGCAACATTCTGCCCAACAAAGGGATTACACCACACGATTTAATGTTGAAAATTTTATAAATCTTTTCCCCGAACCAAAACAAATTTGAAGATCCCAACAGGAGCATTAAGTTGGACTCACGCTCAATGAACTACGCTAGCACATTTTTTATGTTCGGTTACCTACAAATTGTGATAACATCCTGTTGTTGCAAGAGGTAAGACGTTTAATTCGACAGTTCCAGTCTCCTTTAATGATACCGTACAGTTTCTTAGCTTGCCTACATTACTCACCGAGATGAGATCGTGGAGCACCTCCGGCAAAAACAGGCGAGGGATAAAGAGGAGCGGAGGAAAAAATAGCAGACAACAACATGCCCTTGCTGCTACAACGATGAAGTGCCGAAAGACATCTTCCGCTGTCCAAATGGTTGTCGGTTTTGCCGAGAATGCATTAAAAGGAGCTGTGAAGTCGCCTTTGGCGAAGGTAAAAAAGACTTTATGCTTGGCTGCTTGTCCAACCGAATTTTCGGTGCAGACATTGCAGGTGAGTATTTTGCAAATGTTTAAAACTCTAGTATCAATTTGTGTTATCTTCTTAGACTCCACTTCCGATCGGTCTCAATTCTCCTTATCTCTGCTGTATTTCACGGTGCGCATAGCACATTTAAGCGTAATTAAAATTAAGTTAAGAATTCTTTTTGTTATGCCTCCACAATAGGAATTGCCGAGTGTTAAGGAATTCTGTAAAAAAGGCTGGGAAAGTTAACGAATTTTTTTGGTAACCAATTTGTTGCAGTCGTGAAGGTTTGGCCTGGACTCTTTTGAACAACGAACACTCGCAACTTTTTTTAATAAATTTTACGCGCCCGATCCAAATAGTTAAATCGTTTGTCGGTCCTCTCACTTATATCTAGTGGTTCTGCTGACAAATAATATTAGATGTCATCTGGGTGTGATTAAATGCTGGACGGGACTATAGTCATGCTTTAGTTATCGTAAAGTTAAATAAAACACTCTTCGAGTTTTAGCACAGACTAGCCTATATATATGTTTGTATTTTACTTTATACATACAAGTAATGTTTACACACATATATATCCGGTGGCGCTGGCAGAGCACAGCGGGAACTTTCAAATTTGATATATACAGGGTGGTCCGAATTTTATGCAGGAAACTTCGAGGGCAGATAGATCTCTTTAAAATAATAAAAGTTTGCCTTATAAACATAGGTCTGGATCGGCCTCGTTTTAGAGATACAGGGTGTTGAAGTTGTTAAAAAAATATTATTTTTTGTTTATATCTCAGGAATCTATTAACCGATCGCAATAAAATTTGGTACAAATAATGTACGATAGTAGGCCTTGCATTCCCTAAAATATGAGCTCTAAAGGTTTAGCCAGTGGTGTACAACTGAAGAGAGGTCACCCCCTTTTTATAAAAAAAACCTACGCCACTGTATTTTTTACAAGTTATTGTAATGGATCTAAATTCTAATGCACTAAATACGTAAAAAAGGTGACTTGAATTTTTTCCCTAAGGTTCAAAATTTTCAAGTTATTGATACAAATACAACCCCTTGTGGCAGACACTTCAGATCATAATATTAGAAAAATATTTATGTTTATGCTTAAAAGTAAGTGCAATTTATAAGCACATCAACAAAATTCTTTCCACATCACTTGTGAGGTAGTGTTCCTGGTGTTTTAGTTTTCCCTGGAGGTATTATTTTTACAAATAAGAACAATTTAAATCAAAATAATAATAAAAATACATTTACCAAGCAACAACAACTAAACAAGAAACAAAAT